AAAAAAAAAAAAACACCACCACAAATTATGACAGATTCCAGAAGCAGTTTACGACCATATCACAAACTAAGACAAAACAATAAGAAGCTACCTCTTCAAAGCTCAAAATTACACACATCAACTTGCAGAAAGATGCTAAATGAGCTAACGTGTATCATGACCACTTTGTGACACGGTGGAATAACAATCCACCCTCATGGGGTTGGTGAGGGATCAAGCCCCAAGATGGTAGCTGGGGTGCATCTGCAAATGTTGGGCCACCCGAGTTTGACTGGGTTTGGTGAAACATGTGCCAAAGAAAACCAAATGTGTATTTTGCTACATGCTAGAGGTAAGTTTTTTGCCAAACACAAACAGATCATGTTACCAGCTACTTCTTGGGAAGTAAGTGATTGGTCTTCATAGTAGAATCAGTACAAATTGTACTCTTCTTCTAATGCTTCTTAAAAACAGGAGTGGGTCTACGTCTCCCAAATTAGTGGATCAGTCCCATGTAGTCCCTACAAGGCAACAAAGTGAACAATGTACAAACCTTTAATTCATTACCTTTCCACAATTCTCATAGTGGCAAACAAACTGTCTCTCCCCATGGATGTGAGAATGTTTCCTCAAAGCTCCAGCATCAATAAATGTCTTTCCACAGCCTTCATAACTACAAAGGAAAAGAACTTCAGTAGTTGGTTCAGGTTCGGGTTCCGCTGCCTCTGGTTCTTTTGATTTTTCTTTTATGGCCTTCAATTGCACCTCTATATAATAAAACATGTAGAAAAGATATATAAAGGGAATCAGATTCCAAAACCTGATTAAATTTTTTTAAAGAAAAGATATATATATATATATATATATAAACACACACACACACACACTCACATATATATATATATAAAGAGAGAGAGAGAGAGGAAAGACATCATGCACAAAACTTCAAATCATGCTAAAAACTCCAATGTTTTGCACAAACACCAACCAACCAGTGAGTTTGAGATTCCTTGACTCACTCGATCAAAACAGAAACTCATTTGTCAAGCACCTGCATCGGACAATATAAAGACCAGCAAAGAATTTCTTTCACATGAAACCTCATGCAACTTCCATCTATTATGCACTCAGCACTCCCATAATCAGCTACAAAGCCACTATACAAATCCCAGTTAACTTAAAAATCAACAAAACCTAAAGATATTTGCAGCACGACGACTTTGCCCAGATAGCAAGTTACCCCAAAAATTAACAAACACGAATTGGTCAATAGTTTTTTCCCTCCCTTGGGTGAAAATGGCAACAAAAATCTGAAATAAATATTTGTGCAAGATACATAAACATGCTCCAGATCTTTGACAATCATGGATCTGGTTTCCACCCTCAAAAGCCCACCCCCAAATAAAGGGGGATGTGTGTATGTATGCATGCGTGCGCAAGAGAGAGAGAGAGAGAGATCCATTCTTTTTGTGTCATAACCTAGGGGGGACACTGGAACCCTCAATTTCAAGGCCCCCACATGGTGGTCAAAATATTCAGCTCTGGATGTAGGAAAAATTACAGTTTAAAGTTTTAAACACACTAATTACATGCTAGTGACTAACAAATAGATATCATTTACTTAAGCACATGATCATCCTTCAGCCTCCTCACTCCAACTAGTAAATGCCTACGAAACAGACTAGTGCATCTTGATCTCAAGTAGGCCAAGCAATTCTACACAAGACCAGCAAACACAACAGAAAATCAAAAATCACTAGGTTTGGGCTTAGCTTAGCGAGTTGGAATAGTTAACGGTGGACCCACCAAGTCACTTTAATAAATGGATTGACTAGCCCACCTAGACATGACAGAAGCCCAACTACTCTTGACTATGAATATGTCGCATATTGGTTAAAGTGTTGAACAGATTCTGACATGACCCAATTTACACTCAGAACAACCTGACATAATACAACCCCTTTGCCAGCCCTAGTCTCCAATCTCAAACATACTCCAATTGCTGCTTTCTATGTTTCGAATTTAACTCCATTTCAAATTTTGAAAATGAAAATATCAATATTTACAAAAGAAACCCTTAAAAAACAGCTTCCAAAACATACAAAGAGGAATAAAGACTCTCAAGAATTGTCAAAGGTGATGTATGGAAATGATTGAGAGATAGTGCTCCACAAATAAAACTTATAACACAGTTTGAAACACATTCAGACAGTTCTCCAAGATGTTAAAATAAATGCAATAATCTCGACAACTATGTGAAATTTGAATCCCACCTACTTCGCTAAAAATAAAAACAAGTACCAAATCTTCACTCAACTTTTTGGAAAAAATAGGGGAAGTACTGGACAAGAAAAAAAAAAGATGTTTCTTTCCGAAATGCAAACTTTGCAATGTAATGTTAGATCAAAAAAACTTTACACTCAAATGAGAACTTAATTTAAAGTATCAAAACAACAAACACACAATCTCCCTGATACATATTGTCCAATCTAAAATGTGTTTATGATCCTCCTTCCAAGAAACACGAAGATAATAAAATCAGTTCACACTTCACACATTGTATTCATAAATCCATTACTCTAGGAGTACAAATATCAAATGAATGCCTAACTCAAAGCAATTAGTAGAACTTACCTGTGACCCATTTTAAAACAAAGCACTTCCCACCAGTTGATACAACGTCTTGTGGCACCCTAAAACAAATAGAGAGTAGGTTATAGCAACGTTTGAACAATCCAATAAGATATAGGACAAAAAAATCTAGCGCTAAATCTGCATTTTTACACTTCAATTACGGAAACCAATCAAATGTTGATTAAAGTCATAGCAGAGTAGGAACAACCCCCCCCCCCCCAAAAAAAAAAATCCAGCATGAGTGCCAAGGGCCCCACTCTCCCTCTAAACTTTTTTCTTGGCGTAGTTATTTATCACTAAAAGGAAAGCAAAGAAAGATACAAAAATTAAACAGCCCCAAGAGGTACCAAGATGAGAAGAAGCCAAGTTAAAGAACAATGTAAGCTCTTAGAGGTCTCTTCCATAGATTTATCTGTGGTAATTACTCGACGCATGTGAGACAGCAGGACTAGAAAGGTATTCTGAGAATAAATTAGAAGGGAAAAAAGAGTATATATAATCGCAATTTGCATAAGGCAAGATTCCTCTAAAGACCAAAAATGGCTGTAAAGGTGGGTTCCAAGTACCTTAATAAGTAGATGGAATGATATACATTCACACACTAAAAAGGATTCCTGTGCTTAAAAGGCAATCATACTCTTTGATAACAAGCCCAGTATTGCCTCAGTCATCTTAGAAATCATAATAATCCATAATGACCCATTATGTAGAGACAAAGCAAAACAAGCACAAATAATCATGACAATTCATTTCACCTTCCCATGCCTCCTTTGACAAAAACTTCATTAGCCTTACCTATGCCTTTTCTAATAAATTTGCTACTGACCTTTAATATATCGCTATCAATTATTCCTCTTTCCCAGAAAACTACTTTTTCCATGCTAAAAGATGCTCATATCCCAACTTTTACCCTGTCTACATCACATGTTAAGGGTATTCAAGAAGTGTCAATTAATTGTGCAAAATCAACACTTTAACTCCACGTCATAAACATGGTCAACAGAATGTGGAACAAAGGCAAATCAAGACGCTTAATTTTTTGTTAGATAGCTAAAGGTTTTGCACATGATTCCCTAAGTACCCAAGAAACGTCGATGTCCAACCTGTGTTCAACGTGGACACGACACTTTCTTCAACATGTCAATTCTTCTCACATACTTATCAAACAATTGGATTACGATTTAGTGCATCAAACTACTGGTTAGGATTTGTAGAGATTTGAAACGTAAGGATAAATTTTTCATTTTTGCTGGTAGGGCACTATTCATGCACCATTTGCCGGTAGGGCACTACATATACATCATTTACATATAAGTCATGTTTATGAGCATAATTTGAGTTTGTCATAGAAGAGAAATATGCTTATAATGTTAAAATACACCTACTGTACGAATTTGAGCCTAAACGAAAATAATTTCAAAAATTGGACAAAAAAGGTATCCCGGGCGGCCTAGGTGGGACCGGCCAAACCCGGCCACTAGCGAAAATATATTTTTTTGAAAATTTTCATTTAAAATAATTTTAAGAATTTTGGTTAAAATAAAATGTCGAATTGAAGCATTTCGGGACGAGTTGTAGTGTAACGGTGTCCCGGATTCACCAAGGGCAAAAGAGTCATTTTGCACCTTTACCCCTCCACTATAAATACAGCCCCCTTAGTGTAAAAATATCAATTTTTGGGCTAAGAAAGGTCAATACACGTTTTTGGAAGAAAAGGAAAGAAAAACCCTAGGTTTTTAAAGCTTCAAGCCACCAAAACTCATTCCTAAGCCAAGATTTTTGCAAGACTTCCTTCTAAGAAGTTGTTCCTCTCAACAAGGGCTACATTTTCACCAATTGGTTCGGCTATAAAAAGAACACAACTCTCTTGGTTTGAGAAAAATCATTTTAGGTATGATAATTTGCTAAGTTGAGAATAGATTTAAGTTTTCTTGTCTTCCTATGTGTTGATTGGATAATTTAGGTATCTACTTGATGATAAAAATTTATTTAGTTGGTAGTTGCTTTGAAAACTTAGAATTTATAGTTTAAGTACTTTTGTGTTTTTTTGAGTTTGTTGACAATTTGTTGTTATGGTAAAGGTGTATATTGCTTATGTGTTAGATTATTATATTATAACTTATGTTCATGTAGAGAAACTCTTGTGGTTTGAGGGTTATGATTTATTACATGAGTTGGTAGTTTGTGTATTTGTAGTTTCTTTGAGAAATTGTGAATGTAATGAATATGAAGCTTGATCATATGCTTAAATCCATTGAATGGTGCTTCACATTTATCTAGATGAGGTGTTCTATGAAATATTTTCATAGAATTTACATTGAGAAAAATCATGGCATCTTGGCGTACATAAATCTTTGGAACATAGTGTGGGTTGAGCACTTGGTGCTATGCATTATAAGGGTGTAGATCCTATGGTGAAAAATCCAAAATCTGGCCAATGACAGTACTCACGGGCTGACGAGGGCGGACCGTGAAGCGAGACATGGGTGACATAGAGTTGCATGGTNGTTTATAATGTTAAAATACACCTACTGTACGAATTTGAGCCTAAACGAAAATAATTTCAAAAATTGGACAAAAAAGGTATCCCGGGCGGCCTAGGTGGGACCGGCCAAACCCGGCCACTAGCGAAAATATANGCTTATAATGTTAAAATACACCTACTGTACGAATTTGAGCCTAAACAAAAATAATTTCAAAAATTGGACAAAAAAGGTATCCCGGGCGGCCTAGGAGGGACCGGCCAAACCCGGCCACTAGCGAAAATATATTTTTTTGAAAATTTTCATTTAAAATAATTTTAAAAATTTTGGTTAAAATAAAATGTCGAATTGAAGCATTTCGGGACGAGTTGTAGTGTAACGGTGTCCCGGATTCACCAAGGGCAAAAGAGTCATTTTGCACCTTTACCCCTNGCTTCCGGTATTTAAGACTTGAGGAAGTCTTAGAGGAAGGAGAGGAAAGGGACTTGAATGTATATTTNTGAAGCATTTCGGGACGAATTGTAGTGTAACAGTGTCCCGGGTTCACCAAGGGCAAAAGAGTCATTTTGCACCTTTACCCCTCCACTATAAATACAGCCCCCTTAGTGTAAAAATATCAATTTTTGGGCTAAGAAAGNAAGCATTTCGGGACGAGTTGTAGTGTAACGGTGTCCCGGATTCACCAAGGGCAAAAGAGTCATTTTGCACCTTTACCCCTCCACTATAAATACAGCCCCCTTAGTGTAAAAATATCAATTTTTGGGCTAAGAAAGGTCAATACACGTTTTTGGAAGAAAAGGAAAGAAAAACCCTAGGTTTTTAAAGCTTCAAGCCACCAAAACTCATTCCTAAGCCAAGATTTTTGCAAGACTTCCTTCTAAGAAGTTGTTCCTCTCAACAAGAGCTACATTTTCACCAATTGGTTCGGCTATAAAAAGAACACAACTCTCTTGGTTTGAGAAAAATCATTTTAGGTATGATAATTTGCTAAGTTGAGAATAGATTTAAGTTTTCTTGTCTTCCTATGTGTTGATTGGATANGTGTAAGGATGTCAAAAAGGGGGGTTTAGAAACCTTGAAGAAATAGGCTAAAAATGGAAGAAAAATGGCTTGAAAAACTTTGAAAAAACATGAAAAATGATTGAGAAAATAATTTATCCAACCTAATGACCTTTCATTTACTTTTCTTTTCTAATTTCACTCCCTCCTCGGGTTTGTGAAAATTCGGGGCGTGACAACTTGGTATCAGAGCCTACGTTCGAATACCTAGAGACTGTGGGGTGTTGTTGAACACGATAAGGCCGTGACACATAGTTTTAAATTTTGGGTGAGCATTATTTTAAGTGTGAGAACTTGTTTGGTGTATGTTAAGACATGTTGTAGTTGTTGCTTTTGAAGTGTGAGTTGTTGACATGTATGTGCTTCTTATTCTTTTAAATGCCTATGTCTAATGTGAAAAGAGGTATTAATATTTTAATGCCTATTGGACTTGTAGACAAATGCCACCAAAGAGGACTCCTGCTAGACCTGTAGTGCCTAGGCGCGGTAGGCCTAGAGCGATAACACCACCTCGGTGTGGTAGGCCCCAAGCTGTTGCTCCTGCTCATAATATAGCTGAGGAGCTCGTTACTGCTGCTCCTACACTTGCCCCAGCAGAGGAGGTGGAGCAGACCATTGGCGCTAAAGATGTGGCGACCATTTTGCAAAAGTGTTTACAAGCCATATAGGACACCAGGACTACAGGTGGTGAGACTAGTGATACCCAAGTAANTGCTCCTACACCTGCCCCAGCAGAGGAGGTGGAGCAGACCATTAGCGCCAGAGATGTGGCGACCATTTTGCAGGAGCGTTTACGACGAGCCATGTAGGACACCAGGACTGCAGGTGGCGAGACCAAGGATACCCAAGTAATGAAGGCATTCCAGAGGATGAGACCTCCTACTTTTACTTGACAACTTGACCCTTTAGTAGTCGAGGAGTGGTTAAAGCATATCACTAGGATCCTAGACTCGCAGGCGACCATGGAGCCGTATTTGAGGATTAGGTATGCTACCTTTCAGTTTACTGAATTGGCTAGTCAGTGGTGGAGAATAACTACTCACCGGATAGACAGTTTCGAGGAGGGATGGGATGCCTTTGTGGCCATGTTCAATGACCATTATTTTCTCGAGACTGCACGGATTGGGTATATGGATGAGTTCATGGCTCTCCTACAGCGAGACATGACAGTGACTCAATATGAGTCTCGGTTTACTGCATTGGGGAGATTTGCCCCCATGTCATTCGAGAGGAACGACTGAAGGTCCTTTACTTTGTNTCCTCCTACACCTGCCCCAGCAGAGGAGGTGGAGCAGACCATTAGCGCCAGAGATGTGGCAACCATTTTGCAGGAGCGTTTACGACGAGCCATGTAGGACACCAGGACTGCAGGTGGCGAGACCAAGGATACCCAAGTAATGAAGGCATTCCAGAGGATGAGACCTCCTACTTTTACTTGACAACTTGACCCTTTAGTAGCCGAGGAGTGGTTAAAGCATATCACTAGGATCCTAGACTCGCAGGCGACCATGGAGCCGTATTTGAGGATTAGGTATGCTACCTTTCAGTTTACTGAGTTGGCTAGTCAGTGGTGGAGAATAGCTACTCACCGGATAGACAGTTTCGAGGAGGGATGGGATGCCTTTGTGGCCATGTTCAATGACCACTATTTTCTCGAGACTGCACGGATTGGGTATATGGATGAGTTCATGGCTCTCCTACAGCGAGACATGACAGTGACTCAATATGAGTCTCGGTTTACTGCATTGGGGAGATTTGCCCCCATGTCATTCGAGAGGAACGACTGAAGGTCCTTTACTTTGTTAGGGGGTTGAAGACCTCCATCAGAGATAGACTGGCAGGTCACATTATGGAGACCTACGATGAGGCAGTGATTCGGGCCACCAAGGTTGAGAGAGAGTTGGCCGACCTTAGAGGGATTAGAGAGTCCCGGACGCAAAGTGGGGCAATTGCAACTCAGGCTTCTACATCTGTCCCAGTTTACACTGGTAGGGGACCGGCGAAGAGGTACAGGACTGGTGCTTCTTCTGCACAAACATCGCAACAACCTACCCAGTTTTTNGTCGAGGAGTGGTTAAAGCATATCACTAGGATCCTAGACTCGCAGGCGACCATGGAGCCGTATTTGAGGATTAGGTATGCCACCTTTCAGTTTACTAAGTTGGCTAGTCAGTGGTGGAGAATAGCTACTCACCGGATAGACAGTTTCGAGGAGGGATGGGATGCCTTTGTGGCCATGTTCAATGACCACTATTTTCTCGAGACTGCACGGATTGGGTATATGGATGAGTTCATGGCTCTCCTACAGCGAGACATGACAGTGACTCAATATGAGTCT